GTTTTGCTTCTTACTTTTATATTATAGATTGAATTACAAGAATAGGATCTATCGATAAAATATATACAACAATGAGACTGCCTCGCAAGAAAAAGTCTGTGAATCTTTGTAATGATGCTGAAATGCTAGGTGAGCTTCCTTAATATTGGTAAATATTATGATTGCTATTTTATTATAAATACTTGATAATAATGTAGTTTTGCTTTTTACTTTCATATTAGATATTAATACAAAGAAAGGCTCTGTCGATAAAAATACATGCTTTGAAGAGACTGCTACACAAAGAAAAACTGTGAATCTCTTAAAAATGATGATGCTCAAGTACTATTAAGTGAGTTTCTTTATATTAACAAATTTCATGAATGCTATTTTACAATAAACATATATTAATATAGTTTGCCTCTTACTTTTATATTATAGCTGATGATACAAGAATAGCATTTATCGATGAAATATATACAACGGTATGACTGCCTCGCAAGAAAAAGGCTGTGAATCTTTTGTAAATGATGCTGAAATGCTAGGTGAGCTTCCTTAATATTGGTAAATATTATAATTGCTATTTTATTATAAATACTTGATAATAATGTAGGTTTGCTTTTACTTTCATATTAGATATTAATACAAAGAAAGGCTCTGTCGATAAAAATACATGCTTGGAAGAGACTGCTACACAAAGAGAAAACTGTGAATCTCTTAAAAATGATGATGCTCAAATATCATTAGGTGAGTTTCTTTAATATTAGCAAATTTCATGAATGCTATTTTACAATAAACATATATTAATATAGTTTGCCTCTTACTTTTTTATTATAGCTGATGATACAAGAATAGCATTTATCGATGAAATATATACAACGGTATGACTGCCTCGCAAGAAAAAGGCTGTGAATCTTTTGTAAATGATGCTGAAATGCTAGGTGAGCTTGCTTAATATTGATAAATATTATAATTGCTATTTTATTATAAATACTTGATAATAATGTAGTTTTGCTTTTTACTTTCATATTAGATATTAATACAAAGAAAGGCTCTGTCGATAAAAATACATGCTTTGAAGAGACTGCTACACAAAGAGAAAACTGTGAATCTCTTAAAAATGATGATGCTTAAGTACTATTAAGTGAGTTTCTTTATATTAACAAGTTTTATGACAGCTATTTTACAATAAACATTTATTAATGTAGTTTTGCTTCTTACTTTTATATTATAGATAATGATACAAGAATAGGATCTATCGATAAAAATATATACAACGATGAGACTGCCTCGCAAGAAAAAGTCTGTGAATCTTTTGTAAATGATGCTGAAATGCTAGGTGAGCTTCCTTAATATTGGTAAATATCATAATTGCTATTTTATCATAAATACTTGATAATAATGTAGTTTTGCTTTTTACTCTCACATTATATATTAATACAAAGAAAGGCTCTGTCGATAGGAATACATGCATCAAAGAGATTGCTGCACAAAGAGAAAACTGTGACTCTCTTAAAAATGATAATGCTCAAATATTAGGTGAGTTTCTTTAATATTAGCAAATTTCATAAGTGCTATTTTATGATAAACATATAATATAGTTTTGCTTCTTACTTTTATATTAGATACTGATATGAAAATAAGATCTATTGATGAAAATATATATAATGATATGAAAATAAGATCTATTGATGAAAATATATATAATGAAAAGGCTGCCTTGCAAGAAAAAGGCTATGAATCTTTAGAGATCAATGACTCGCAAATATTAGGTGAGTTTCCTTAATATTAACTAAAAATTTAAAGTATCCCACATTAATGTTATGTGAAGTGTCGGTTAAATCAGCTGGTTTTTTAATATGTTGTAGCTTATAATCTATTGAAAAAAATGTAATAGGCTCAAAGCTAAATAATAGGTACTGATTTATACAATCAGTCAAATATGAAATACTCGGGCTTTGCGAACTGCTTGCCTGGCTATACTCAATAATTGTTTATTAATTAGCCTTGAGATTATTGCATCTTTTGTTCAACAGATCATAAGCTACATTTGAAAAAAAACAGCTGGTTTAACTGAAATTCATTTCACATAAGATTAATGCGAAGTACTTTCATAACTATTATTTTAGCATAATTATTTGATAATAATTCAGTTCTGCTTTTATATTAGATATTAATACATTGATAAATGCTATCGATAAAAATGAAAATATTGGTGAGATGCATATCAAAGGCTGTAATTTCCTGAAAAATTCTGGAATTTTAATGACTATAGGTAATTTTTTCAATATTAATCACAATATTTTCACAAAAGTTATTCATAATGGTGTTTGTTACATATATTAATTGCTACATATTACAAAGTACATATTACTAAATAATTGCAATGTTTTATCAATATCATTTTTCTTAATTTTTTTGATAAGCAATAGTTAAAATTCAGAATTATTTTATGTAAAAATAATCGCTACTAAAGAAAAAAAATCATTTAGTTGAAAATAAATATTGTCATTTTTAGTGTATATATAAATACGTTTTCTCTCTCTCTCTTGCTATTCTTTTATGATTTTAGTAATTTTTAATAAAAAATGTAAAGCTAAAAAATATTGTTTTTATTTTCTTTTATGACTATATTTTTAATAAAATGTAAAGCTAAAATATATAAAATATATAAAATTTTAATTTTATTTTTTAATATTTCGGTTAATTCACATCTAGTAATTCGGCATTTATCAATTTCAATATGTATGCACTATTTTAATAATATATGGTAATAATATATATTTTTCTAGCATCTCCTTATGGCAAAACCAAAAGGCAGCGTTGGACAGAAAAAGAAAAAGAAACAGTACTTCAAGCATTTTCCACACATATGAAAAACTTAACGCTACCGTCTTTACGAGAAATTCAAGAAACTAAAAAGAAGTATAGTTGTTTATTTAATCGGACATCGCCGCAAATAAAAACATGGATCCATAATAAACAGAAAGCTCTACGACAATATGAATAATGTCATTCTGGTAATTGCAACTGCTTTGAATTCTTGTTTATTTCATTAGATAATATTTTAAAAAATGTTTTCTTATCATTTAATTAATACTTCAAACATAATACTTCAAATTTATTTTATATTCTTTCAAGATGTCAGTTTTCGACAAAATTTACACCGATAATGAAAGTTATTGAAAGTTGCAAACAATATAATTGTAGCTTTTAATTTTTTATGAATTTTTTGTTTTGTTTATTTTGAAATATTATTTTTGTTTTAGAAGCATAATAGCATGCTACATATAAAACGATAAAATATAAGTATAATATAATACAATAGTTTGAAAAAGAATTTAATTTGCAAATATATATGTATACATATGACCTCTAGTGTATCATAAGACTGCTATTCTATTGTAATTTATTTATTTTTCGTGATACACACACAAGACGGTATTGTGGACATTTTGTTGACTAACTGTACTTTTCTATTATATATACAATATTATTTATTGTATTACAATATGTATATTATATATAATAATTATTATATCACAAATGATATATATGTATACATATATATAGATAATATGTTACATATAAGTAGGTTACATATTTATCTTATTTATAGCTTTTTATTATTACAACATGCTCATTTAGCGAACAGATGAAGATATTTATGTTCCTTGGAGGACTTAGGTTAGTGCGGACTATTTCTAAAAGAAGATAGCCTCAGTACTCTTAATTTTAGACCAATGAGTGCTGGGACTGTCCTTAGTCGAGGACAGAGTCCGCATTGGTCGACGTCCTTGATCGAACTTAGACCAATGGGTGCTGGGACTGTCTTTGATCGAGGACAGAGTCCGCATTAGTCGACGTTCTTGATCGAACTTAGACCAGTGGGTGTTGGGACTGTCCTTATCGAGGACAGAGTCCGCATTGGTCGACGTCTTTGATCGAACTTAGACCAGTGGGTGCTGGGACTGTTCTTGGTCGAGGACAGAGTCCGCATTGGTTGACATCCTTGATCGAACTTAGACCAGTGGGTGCTGGGACTGTCCTTAGTCGAGGACAGAGTCCGCATTGGTCGACGTCCTTGATCGAACTTAGACCAATGGGTGCTGGGACTGTCCTTAGTTGAGGACAGAGTCCGCATTGGTCAACGTCCTTGATTGAACTTAGACCAATGGATGCTGGGACTGTCCTTGATCGAGGACAGAGTCCGCATTAGTCGATGTTCTTGATCGAACTTAGACCAGTGGGTGTTGGGACTGTCCTTATCGAGGACAGAGTCCACATTGGTCGACGTCCTTGATCGAACTTAGACCAGTGGGTGCTGGGACTGTTCTTGGTCGAGGACAGAGTCCGCATTGGTTGACATCCTTGATCGAACTTAGACCAGTAGGTGCTATCTCCTTTTAAGAATGGAGTCCGCACTAGCTTAAATCTTCCAGAGAATATCTTTTGGTGTCTCCAGATGAGCATGCTTGTAAAATAAAGAGATGATTAAACTATAAGTCTGGAAGATAAACACGTTATAATAAAGTAAAAGATAGTTTAATTACTTAAATATTAATATTGTCATACAACTCTGAAATTCAAATCACTTGTCAATACTTAAAGTGTTTATGTTCATTAAATCGCTACTAACATTTTCTTTTATTTTTTTACGAATGCATTTTTCTTTTTACGAAATTTTCGTGATTGAAATCCAGAGATTGTACAAAATTGACTAGTTGTATATAATTATTTTTTATAGAGAATTAGTTATGCAATGGATTTTACAAAAAACAAATTCATGCTAATAATACATAAATGTGCAATTAGCTTATGTTTAATTTTGTTTGCTTAAAATGTATGTTTTTTAAGACTACACTAAGCGCTTTGATTTAACATCTTGGTTTTAAGGCTCCTGTATACTCGTCGCAGCCACGTCAGAGCCACGTGTTGACGTCAGAGGCGAGAAATTTCTTGCGGAATATTTTTAAATAAAAAGATTTCGATAAAACAACACTACAAATCTCTTTGTACACTTGTAAAATATACCGAAGACTAACCTTCTCTCTTGATAGTCAATCAGCACCTGTAAAATAATTGAAACATCAGACTTTGTCATGTAGAATGATTGCACATGTGCAAAGACCAGATGGACTGGATCTGATATTACAGTCATTTTACAGCTGTTGATTGATTATAATGGGAAAAAGCTAGTTTTCGATATATTTTACAAGTGTGCCAAAGACGTTTGTAGTGTTATTTTATTGAAATATCTTTTTATTTAAAAATGTTTCGCAAGAATTTTCATCGTGTTTTTTCGCCTCTGCATGATGTCACGATTCCGACATAATCGGCGAGTATCCAGGAGTCTCAACTTTCAAATTTATATAATATAATATATTAATATATGTGTAATTTTAAGTAATTATAATAATTTTAATAATTTTAATTTTTAAAGTAATTATAAGTATTCAAATTAAATAGGTATTTAAGTAGATAGTTTTACAAAAAATGTACGCAAAGATTATATGTAGACGACACAGATGTATGCTAAGTTTTACTGCAATTTTTTACATCAGTTTTTTCTGCGAATTGTATTTCGAGAATAGCGACCAGTATAGTCGCAGTCTTAACATCTACTGTATTTTTGTTCCATAATTTTTTTTTCATAAATTGTATTTGTATTTCTTATAATCAATATTTGCATTTGTATCAACATACGTATTTTTTCGAATTATGTATTGTGAATAACAGTTAATATTTACATTAAGTGTTTAGAATGTTCTTTGATGCATTTCAGCATTCTTTGATTGCATAACAGCAACTAACCATTTTTGAGATCTAACGAATAAAAAATCTATATTCTAAAAAATTCTCACAATGTTGTTTTTTATTGTTGGTCTAATAAAACTCATTAACATCACACAAATGTACATTATGTACATATTAGAACAGTAATTCTAATATTGTACATTTTTGTGTGTGTGTACATTATGTATATACACAAATGTATAATATTAGAATTACTATACTACAATACTTTCTGTGTTGGGATCTCAAATTGAGATACAGTTCCGTTTAATTAATTTTTCGTTTCGTTTCCTTGGCTCTATTGCCCAGCTTAGAAGACAGCATACTTATATTATTTATATTGAGAGCCGATAAAAATATTTATTTCTGAGTTTATTCACGCCTTGGGCTAATCACGGCGGTATTTACTAACATCTACTAAAAAGGCAAATGAAAAATATAGGATCGAAAGGGTCTGAATAGCTTAGTTGGTAAGAGCAGTCGCCCGGAAAGTGAAAGACGCGGGTTCGATTCCCGCTTCAGCGACTTTTCGGACCTATATTTTTCTCGCTTATTTCTCCATATGTAAGTTTCGAAATTAATTTATATGTGGAACTTTGGGATCTCAAATTGAGATACAGTTCCGTTTAATTAATTTTTCGTTTCGTTTCCTTGGCTCTATTGCCCAGCTTAGAAGACAGCATACTTATATTATTTATATTGAGAGCCGATAAAAATATTTATTTCTGAATAAAAAAAAATGTTAGTAGCGATTTAATAAACATAAACACTTTAAGTATTGACAAGTGATTTGAATTTCAGAGTTGTATGACAATATTAATATTTAAGTAATTAAACTATCTTTTACTTTATTATAACGTGTTTATCTTCCAGACTTATAGTTTAATCATCTCTTTATTTTACAAGCATGCTCATCTGGAGACACCAAAAGATATTCTCTGGAAGATTTAAGCTAGTGCGGACTCCATTCTTAAAAGGAGATAGCACCTACTGATCTAAGTTTGATCAAGGACGTCGACCAATGCGGACTCTGTTCTCGACCAAGGACAGTCCCAGCACCCACTGGTCTAAGTTCGATCAAGGATGTCAACCAATGCGGACTCTGTCCTCGACCAAGAACAGTCCCAGCACCCACTGGTCTAAGTTCGATCAAGGACGTCGACCAATGTGGACTCTGTCCTCGATAAGGACAGTCCCAACACCCACTGGTCTAAGTTCGATCAAGAACATCGACTAATGCGGACTCTGTCCTCGATCAAGGACAGTCCCAGCATCCATTGGTCTAAGTTCAATCAAGGACGTTGACCAATGCGGACTCTGTCCTCAACTAAGGACAGTCCCAGCACCCATTGGTCTAAGTTCGATCAAGGACGTCGACCAATGCGGACTCTGTCCTCGACTAAGGACAGTCCCAGCACCCACTGGTCTAAGTTCGATCAAGGATGTCAACCAATGCGGACTCTGTCCTCGACCAAGAACAGTCCCAGCACCCACTGGTCTAAGTTCGATCAAAGACGTCGACCAATGCGGACTCTGTCCTCGATAAGGACAGTCCCAACACCCACTGGTCTAAGTTCGATCAAGAACGTCGACTAATGCGGACTCTGTCCTCGATCAAAGACAGTCCCAGCACCCATTGGTCTAAGTTCGATCAAGGACGTCGACCAATGCGGACTCTGTCCTCGACTAAGGACAGTCCCAGCACTCATTGGTCTAAAATTAAGAGTACTGAGGCTATCTTCTTTTAGAAATAGTCCGCACTAACCTAAGTCCTCCAAGGAACATAAATATCTTCATCTGTTCGCTAAATGAGCATGTTGTAATAATAAAAAGCTATAAATAAGATAAATATGTAACCTACTTATATGTAACATATTATCTATATATATGTATACATATATATCATTTGTGATATAATAATTATTATATATAATATACATATTGTAATACAATAAATAATATTGTATATATAATAGAAAAGTACAGTTAGTCAACAAAATGTCCACAATACCGTCTTGTGTGTGTATCACGAAAAATAAATAAATTACAATAGAATAGCAGTCTTATGATACACTAGAGGTCATATGTATACATATATATTTGCAAATTAAATTCTTTTTCAAACTATTGTATTATATTATACTTATATTTTATCGTTTTATATGTAGCATGCTATTATGCTTCTAAAACAAAAATAATATTTCAAAATAAACAAAACAAAAAATTCATAAAAAATTAAAAGCTACAATTATATTGTTTGCAACTTTCAATAACTTTCATTATCGGTGTAAATTTTGTCGAAAACTGACATCTTGAAAGAATATAAAATAAATTTGAAGTATTATGTTTGAAGTATTAATTAAATGATAAGAAAACATTTTTTAAAATATTATCTAATGAAATAAACAAGAATTCAAAGCAGTTGCAATTACCAGAATGACATTATTCATATTGTCGTAGAGCTTTCTGTTTATTATGGATCCATGTTTTTATTTGCGGCGATGTCCGATTAAATAAACAACTATACTTCTTTTTAGTTTCTTGAATTTCTCGTAAAGACGGTAGCGTTAAGTTTTTCATATGTGTGGAAAATGCTTGAAGTACTGTTTCTTTTTCTTTTTCTGTCCAACGCTGCCTTTTGGTTTTGCCATAAGGAGATGCTAGAAAAATATATATTATTACCATATATTATTAAAATAGTGCATACATATTGAAATTGATAAATGCCGAATTACTAGATGTGAATTAACCGAAATATTAAAAAATAAAATTAAAATTTTATATATTTTATATATTTTAGCTTTACATTTTATTAAAAATATAGTCATAAAAGAAAATAAAAACAATATTTTTTAGCTTTACATTTTTTATTAAAAATTACTAAAATCATAAAAGAATAGCAAGAGAGAGAGAGAAAACGTATTTATATATACACTAAAAATGACAATATTTATTTTCAACTAAATGATTTTTTTTCTTTAGTAGCGATTATTTTTACATAAAATAATTCTGAATTTTAACTATTGCTTATCAAAAAAATTAAGAAAAATGATATTGATAAAACATTGCAATTATTTAGTAATATGTACTTTGTAATATGTAGCAATTAATATATGTAACAAACACCATTATGAATAACTTTTGTGAAAATATTGTGATTAATATTGAAAAAATTACCTATAGTCATTAAAATTCCAGAATTTTTCAGGAAATTACAGCCTTTGATATGCATCTCACCAATATTTTCATTTTTATCGATAGCATTTATCAATGTATTAATATCTAATATAAAAGCAGAACTGAATTATTATCAAATAATTATGCTAAAATAATAGTTATGAAAGTACTTCGCATTAATCTTATGTGAAATGAATTTCAGTTAAACCAGCTGTTTTTTTTTCAAATGTAGCTTATGATCTGTTGAACAAAAGATGCAATAATCTCAAGGCTAATTAATAAACAATTATTGAGTATAGCCAGGCAAGCAGTTCGCAAAGCCCGAGTATTTCATATTTGACTGATTGTATAAATCAGTACCTATTATTTAGCTTTGAGCCTATTACATTTTTTTCAATAGATTATAAGCTACAACATATTAAAAAACCAGCTGATTTAACCGACACTTCACATAACATTAATGTGGGATACTTTAAATTTTTAGTTAATATTAAGGAAACTCACCTAATATTTGCGAGTCATTGATCTCTAAAGATTCATAGCCTTTTTCTTGCAAGGCAGCCTTTTCATTATATATATTTTCATCAATAGATCTTATTTTCATATCATTATATATATTTTCATCAATAGATCTTATTTTCATATCAGTATCTAATATAAAAGTAAGAAGCAAAACTATATTATATGTTTATCATAAAATAGCACTTATGAAATTTGCTAATATTAAAGAAACTCACCTAATATTTGAGCATTATCATTTTTAAGAGAGTCACAGTTTTCTCTTTGTGCAGCAATCTCTTTGATGCATGTATTCCTATCGACAGAGCCTTTCTTTGTATTAATATATAATGTGAGAGTAAAAAGCAAAACTACATTATTATCAAGTATTTATGATAAAATAGCAATTATGATATTTACCAATATTAAGGAAGCTCACCTAGCATTTCAGCATCATTTACAAAAGATTCACAGACTTTTTCTTGCGAGGCAGTCTCATCGTTGTATATATTTTTATCGATAGATCCTATTCTTGTATCATTATCTATAATATAAAAGTAAGAAGCAAAACTACATTAATAAATGTTTATTGTAAAATAGCTGTCATAAAACTTGTTAATATAAAGAAACTCACTTAATAGTACTTGAGCATCATCATTTTTAAGAGATTCACAGTTTTCTCTTTGTGTAGCAGTCTCTTCAAAGCATGTATTTTTATCGACAGAGCCTTTCTTTGTATTAATATCTAATATGAAAGTAAAAAGCAAAACTACATTATTATCAAGTATTTATAATAAAATAGCAATTATAATATTTATCAATATTAAGCAAGCTCACCTAGCATTTCAGCATCATTTACAAAAGATTCACAGCCTTTTTCTTGCGAGGCAGTCATACCGTTGTATATATTTTCATCGATAAATGCTATTCTTGTATCATCAGCTATAATAAAAAAGTAAGAGGCAAACTATATTAATATATGTTTATTGTAAAATAGCATTCATGAAATTTGCTAATATTAAAGAAACTCACCTAATGATATTTGAGCATCATCATTTTTAAGAGATTCACAGTTTTCTCTTTGTGTAGCAGTCTCTTCCAAGCATGTATTTTTATCGACAGAGCCTTTCTTTGTATTAATATCTAATATGAAAGTAAAAGCAAACCTACATTATTATCAAGTATTTATAATAAAATAGCAATTATAATATTTACCAATATTAAGGAAGCTCACCTAGCATTTCAGCATCATTTACAAAAGATTCACAGCCTTTTTCTTGCGAGGCAGTCATACCGTTGTATATATTTTCATCGATAAATGCTATTCTTGTATCATCAGCTATAATATAAAAGTAAGAGGCAAACTATATTAATATATGTTTATTGTAAAATAGCATTCATGAAATTTGTTAATATAAAGAAACTCACTTAATAGTACTTGAGCATCATCATTTTTAAGAGATTCACAGTTTTCTCTTTGTGTAGCAGTCTCTTCAAAGCATGTATTTTTATCGACAGAGCCTTTCTTTGTATTAATATCTAATATGAAAGTAAAAAGCAAAACTACATTATTATCAAGTATTTATAATAAAATAGCAATCATAATATTTACCAATATTAAGGAAGCTCACCTAGCATTTCAGCATCATTTACAAAAGATTCACAGACTTTTTCTTGCGAGGCAGTCTCATTGTTGTATATATTTTTATCGATAGATCCTATTCTTGTATCATTATCTATAATATAAAAGTAAGAAGCAAAACTACATTAATAAATGTTTATTGTAAAATATCTGTCATAAAATTTGTTAATATAAAGAAACTCACTTAATATTACTTGAGCATCATCATTTTTAAGAGATTCACAGTTTTCTCTTTGTGTAGCAGTCTCTTCGAAGCATGTATTTTTATCGACAGAGCCTTTCTTTGTATTAATATCTAATATGAAAGTAAAAAGCAAAACTACATTATTATCAAGTATTTATAATAAAATAGCAATTATAATATTTATCAATATTAAGGAAGCTCACCTAGCATTTCAGCATCATTTACAAAAGATTCACAGCCTTTTTCTTGCGAGGCAGTCACATTGTTGTAAATATTTTCATCGATAGATCTTATTCTTGTATTATTATCTATAATATAAAAGTAAGAAGCAAAACTACACTAATATATATTTATTATAAAGCGTGGTTTACAATAGCAGTAAGCAGTAAGAGTAAGCAGTACAAAATGAGGTTTGTTCATTTTATTACTCCCGACGAAATGGGCAATCCAATTTCATACTGTTTACTCTTACTGCTTACTTACTGCTATTGTAGACCACGCTTAAAATAGCGATCATACAATTTACTAATATTAAGGAAACTCACCTAAGTGTACTTGAGCATCATCATTTCCAAATTTATTTACTTTTTTGTTTTCAAAGTTAATTCTTTTGCATATAATATACGGTTTTCCTTCAATTATATTTTCTACTATTTGTTTTAATACTGATTCCTTATCTGAACAAGTTAAAATAAAATTAATTAGTTTTAGTTCAAATTTTTCTGTCTCTCTCTCTCTCTCTCTCTCTCTCTAGACACACACACACGCAACACGTACGCACGCACACATATAAATATCGTAGCAAATGTAGATATTGTATAACAGCGGCATGACTTTAATATAACAGTTTTTACAATAACGTAACAGTTAAAAATGAAAAATATTGCTACTTACCATTTCTTGCTAGAATATTTGCTGTGTATCTGCGTCGATTGCTATACGTGGCTTTGATAATTCCTTTACTAACACTAATTGTGTTCGACTTGCATACATAATGTATACCGTCATAAAATTTCACTAAACTATACATTTTGGAAAATGAACCAGTATCACGTATTACTAATGGCTAATGGCCTCCTGTTCCTTCCCGCTTTTTTTACTTTCTCAAAATGGCCAGCAAGACCGACGTCGACAATTGACAATCAGTATGTACGTTTACACGGCACTCTTAAGTGGGAGCACACACTCTTGCATATGTTTATAGACCAATCAAGATTCTTATGCTTACGCTTAAGCGTCTATGCAAAAGTACCACGTTGTGTATAATACATTATATATTTCGGCTATTTTGACGACATCCTATTTTTCATAAAACGGTTATTACAACGACACTCCAAAAGCAAATAAAGAAATTCTTTTTTTAAATAGCTATATCATATTCATCGAATATGCAAGCAATCAAGATATATAGAGGAAAAGGTGCGAATGTAGCAAGTCAGGTTTTTGAGATATAATAATTTAAAAATGCAAAAAAGGGCATTTTTTTCACCTTTTAGTAAGATATAACTTTTAATTGGGATGTGATACAAATTTCTTCGACAGCTTAAAATAAAGCTTGAGACTGTAGTTTATGTAACAAATATGAAAAAGTTCGAATCTAAAGAGTTTATAAAAAATTAATCGTACCTCACAAGATTCTATATTAGTATAAGAAAAAATGCAAAAAAAATATTTTTTATCTTATAACTAAATTTTTTTATAAACTGTTTAGATTCAAACTTTTTCATTTGTTACATAAACTACAAATACCAACTACTAATATATCAGTACGGATAACATTTGCACCTTCTCTTCTATATATCGATTGCTTGCATATTTGATAAATAATATAACTATTTAAAAGAATTTTTAATTTACTTATAGAATGTCGTTATAATAAATGTTTTATGGTAAATATGATGTCGTCAAAATAGCCGAAATATAATGTATTATATATAATTTTGTACTTAGATCGGTTAGTACAGCGACAGTACAAAATTATGTATAATACATTATATATTTTGGCTATATTGACGACAACATACTTTCCATAACACGGTTATTATAACGACATACTAAACGCAAATAGAAAAATTATTTTTCTAAATAGCTTTATCATTCATCGAATATGCAAGCAATCAAGATATATAGAGAAGAAGGTGCGAATGTGGCATGTCAGGTTTTTGAGATATATTAATTTAAAAATGTGAAAGAAGGGCTTTTTCACACTTTTCAGTAAGATATATAACTTTTAATTGGGATGTGATACAAATTTCTTCAACAGCTTAAAATAAAGCTTAAGACTAATTAATGTAACAAATATGGAAACGGTCGATTCTAAAGACTTTATAAAAAAATTAACCAAACCTCAGAGGATTCTATATATTAGTATAAGAAAAAGTGCAAAAAATAATATTTTTTATCTTATAACTTAATTTTTTTATAAACTCTATAGATTCAAACTTTTTCATATTTGTCACATAAACTACAAATACCAATATATCAGCACGGATTACATTTGCACCTTCTCTTCTATATATCTTGATTGCTTGCATATTCGGTGAATGATATATCTATTTAAAAGAATTTTTTCATTTACTTGTAGAATGTCTTTATAATAAATGTTTTATGGTAAATGTGATGTCGTCAAAATAGCCGAAATATACATATATTATACATAATATTATACTTAGATCGGTTAGTACAGCGACAGTACCAAGTTATGTATAATACTATATATTTCGGCTATTTTAACGACATCATATTTTCCATAAAACGGTTATTATAACGACACTCCAAAAGCACATATAAAAATTCTTCTTTTAAATAGCTATATCATTAATCGAATATGCAAGCAATCAAAATATACAGAGGAGTAGATGTAACTGTGGCACGTCAAGTTTTTGAGATATAATAATTTAAAAATGCGAAAAAGGGCATTTTTATACACTTTTTAGTAAGATATTGTATAACTTTTAATTGAGATGTGATACAAATTTCTTCGACAGCTTAAAATAAAGCTTGAGACTGTAGTTTATGTAACAAATATGAAAAAGTTCGAATCTAAAGAGTTTATAAAAAAATTAACTATACCTCAAAAGATTCTTTATATTGGTATAAGAAAAAGCGCGAAAAATAGTATTTTCATGTTATGATTTACTTTTTTATAAATTCTTTAGATTCGATTTTTTTCATACTTGTTACATAAACTATAAATAGCAACTACCAATATATCAGCACGAGCTACATGTGCACCTTCTTTATATATCTTAATTGCTTGCATATTCGATGAATGACATAGCTATTTAAAAG